AGTCGAAATTCGACTATAATTAATTGGAATTGTAAATTTGTACACTATTATGATTGTATTTTATACTTCTATAATCACAAATTTTGCCAAGACTACATTATAAAAAATATTTCCAAAGACAAACAATATTTAATCTATTCTCAATTTGACAATAGAAGTCAAGAACAAAAGTTTGACAATAAATAGTATGCATGCGTGTGTGCGTCAAATACATGGTATGTAGTGTGTGTAATGTTTTCTTTATTCATTTAATGTATCTTTTATGCATTATTTTAAAAAAATATTAGCATTGTGCACTTCTTCTCTATATTCTCTATAAATGTGGAAAATTTCATACTCCTCCGTCCGCGCAATTTTCGTAAAAAGGGATACAAAGTTTTTGCTTCACGTATTAATATATAGATAAATAATAAGGGTTCTAACAGAACGCTAAGATTATTTATTTGTCATTAAATGCCTGTTTCGTATTGATTTTGTTAAGAGAACATAACATATGGATAATGGACCAGCGTGAGAAAAATACTTCGCTTAAATACTGTAATTTATTTGCTTAATATTGAAAACACTGCATATTTTTTATGTAACATATATTTTTGTTCAATATTTAGATGCGTAAAAAAAATCTGTGCTTAGAAAATTCATTTTTTTTAATCGTACTCTTACTTGGGATTGCGGTCAGCTGCTCGAGCCCATTTGAAAATGGCCTAACAAATTGCTTCACTAGTGAAGCTACTACCAGTTTCCACTTGTGACCCGCTTATAAAAATTTGCGAGAAACTCAGCAGGAAACTGATATTAGATTCTAAGCTTTAAGCCCCCTTAGGTAAGGGGAATATTAATAATTAATATTAATAAAATTAATAATATCTATCCTATTTAGCGCAATAAAAATATATTTTTTCTTTATTAAATTTATAATGTTTACCAAATATTCTTCCTACCTACCTATTTATCCTACCCTACCCTTACCCTGCCCTGCCTACCTATCCCTTCAAACCTATTTTCATAATTTAACTGAAATTCTTCCATCAATCCTACTTCACAAGTAAAAATCAATATTGCGAAATCTTGTTAACGTCGCATAGGTGATATTTAAAAATATACTAATATGTATGTATTAGGAATAGATTTATTAATTTAATAGTTGGTTGCAATCATCGTGAATATGTAACAGCTTAAATGTTATTAATGATTTCAGATTAATCTAAAGATGAGATTTTTATTTTATTTTATTTATTTTATTTTTATTGATGATCTTCTATGGTGATGGTTTGACTGCTACTGCTATCACTAATGCTTGCCTATAATCTATCAATATTAATAATAGTCGTAGCCTAGAATATAAGACGCCCGGTGGTATCGTCTTAAGCGATGCGATGAGACCCGTGTTCAAAGCCCCAAGCAAGCATCAGTTTTTCCAAAAAAATCGCGCTTGACACATGTTCACGAACAACTCTCTTGGTGATGGAATAACAACATGTAAGTTGAAATCGAAGCTCCAAAACTATAATAACGCATATTGGACATCCCTTTTCTTGACATCGTATAAATTCGGTAATTCTCGGTACGGTTCGGAAAGTTCACCTGCGGCTATATTCAGACTCGCCAAGCTACGTCGGTCGCATTGTAATGAGCGATTTAGTGGGCAACTTCATTCTGTTAATTTTGTGTCACGGTGCGCGCGCATCGTAAAATTTCACTCTCATCAATTTTTCATAACGCGCCTAAAGAAGTATAACTTCAAAAAAAAAAAGAACATCGTAGATCTATTTGACAGAATCGATGCTTCATTCGATGAGTATTGCCTTTGTTGTTGCCACATGCAAATTGTGAGGCTTGTAAGCTCATGAAAGCTCTGTAGGCGTTTTGCGATTATAATTACTAGAGATACGAAATGTAACGTAATATGTTACTGGAATAATATTAAAATAGAATATTTATTGCCATAGCGTTAGCTAGTGACAGAAAGGGCTACAAAAGTTGCTTCCTAAGCCGACGTAACGAGTATGTAGATTTTGTGTGTAGTATAATGGTATTATTGGAATGCGTAATGTATAAAATGACAGTAGAATGTATGAATGTGATATCATGGAGGGTTGTGTCTTAGATTACATTTAATTTATTAACTAGACGCGCTCCACCGTTTCGCTCTTGTTATATTAAAATTTGTTATTGGAAATAATGAAAACGTTGGCTTTTTTATTGCCACTCTGGGCAAACGGCCTACCCGATGGTGAGTGGTCACTGTCACTCATGGACATCAGCAATGCCAAGGACAAACCCAAGCCGCTGCCTACCGTTAAAAGCCTTTCTCTCGGGTGTTGGTTATCTGTAAGCTACCAGTAAATTTGTTGTTCCGCCGTTATGTAAAATCATGAATCAGCTAACACACTTTTATATTCTTAACAGATATTTAACCCACTGAGTTTCTCGCCGGATTTTCGCAGTGGGTCGCGATTCCGAGCCGGTGGTAGATTCAGAGAAACATTAATCTTGCTAGAATAGGTGTTAGAAAGTTTTCAGGTTGAGAATAGTGAGCTCGCCCTGGCTGGCTGGAATAGCCCCTATAGGCTACTAGCAGATAGGCAGGCACTAGTCGCTTACAATGAATATAAATTTGCGTTTAATCCAAATCCTTTCCCCAATTTCTTGTGATTAAGCAACAAAAGTCCGAATGCTCAAATTTTTTTCACTCGTAGGTACTGAATCTCATAATATGACATAATATTTTTACTTTTAATATAAAAAGCACTAAGGATTGTATACTGTGATTGGATAATCTGTGGATGCTACTGATCGACAGATCTTTAAATCGGTGTCCAAATAATTAAAATTACATTTACGGTTTATTTTCGCATTTTTAATTGTCGTTATAGTATTTCAGTCGTTTTCGATGCTTTACAGTTTTCGCGTTCACAGCCGACTGATGCAATATTCGTCGATATTTAAAAACATTGTTGTGTATTATTAAAAAAAAAATATCTTTTTTTTGTGACTTTTACGTTTCATTTCACACAGAATCAATGTATTGTATATATAAAAAAACGGGAGATTAAATCGTTAAAGTTCCAATTATGTTTAGGATTCGCGAAAACCCAAGAAAATACCATAAAAATATCATAAAATACCATAAGAATAATACCATAAAAATAAAGAAATACAAAAATACTGTGGTGCTTACCTATATTCATTTAAAGATGTGATTTTTATTTTAACCTAAGCGCTGTGCGTTAAGTGGCTTAGGTGTAAAGTCACCGGTAGTGCTCCCCATCGGCATAGTACTTTTACGACATAGTCTTTAGTTTAAACATTAAAAAAACATTTGTCTATGTTATTTTATATTATTACAGAAGACACATTGGTTACATAGCTTAAATAAATTAAATATATTATACTAGCTGACCCGGCGAACGTTGTTTTGCCATACCTATAAATTATTTCTAGGAAAGGCAAATAACCTAGATACCGACTGCAGCGCCCTCTGCTGGGCTGATTTGTGAATCTAAGCCAACAAGGGTGCCAACCAAACGCATATAAAAAAAACATTCAAATCGGTCCAGCCGTTTAGGAGTTCAGTGACAAACACACGCACAGAAGAAATATATATATAAAGATTTAATTTTAAAATGTATCAATCGAAATCTCGTATGTACCTAGATTTTAATTATTGTTCTGATTAAATTTGAATGAGAGAGAGAGAGATATATATATATAGAACATACTCTATTGCACACCAAAACACAATTAACATTAGAAAGCAGTCAACAAACAGATATATTTCTACAACAGGCGGTATTATCGCTAAAAGTGATTTCTTCCTGACAGCCGTTTAATTAAGAGAAATTCTGGAAAAGATAAAGATACAGCAGGTAAGGTATCTTACTTTATTTTTACTTTTAGATGAAGAAATTTATTTTAGATTCGCAGGTTCTTTTTACAAACCCCATCAAATTTTTTTTCAAAACTAAAGGTTATCATTTATTAAACCGAGAACAAAGCAGTTAAAATCAGAGTATCCTGTTAAAAAAATATTAAGTGGACAGCGTCAACCCTGTATTTGGATTCGCGAGAATAGTACATCTTCTATTAGCTACCTCCTTATGATGGAAAATCTTTGATATGATTTATATTTCCTTTAACGATGTATCGTACTATATTAATCAAAGGAAAACGAATGATTTAAGAATGCTTTACAGCACGAGAATTATACATTAATAGTAAATTGAAATTTGCAAAGATTGCACAATATGCAAGCACGGATTCGAATAACCGGCTATACTTCTCAATGAGATTGGTTCGACTTAATGTTATTTGCTTAATGCTAATCTGCTGTTTTGTATCAATTTATCAATACTGTTTAAAGTATTTCTTTCATAATACCAAACTTTTTGGTATTCGTTCCATTAAAAATAAATACCTATCTCTATTGAGCAGTTTCATTCAATCGCTAAACATAAAGACAATCTTAGAAGGTATCGTCTTCTGATAAAGTTAATTCCAAGAATTTTTCAATAAACCAACATAAAAATAGAGTAAGAACGCCACCGATTCCACCATCCATCACACGCGGCTCGCGCGCGTCGACTGAACGCACACCACGAAACGCCCGCCCAAAAAGTGAACAAGAAAATTTGAAAAGAGAACACTCCCATTGCGAGTCCGCCTACCGAGAATCCGACCAATGGGCGGCCGAGCCGGTCTGGTCGCGCCGAGCCGGCCCGAGGCGGGCCGATCGCGCGCGCTCACAACAAAAACTCACACGACTAGTTTAGTGTCGGGTTGCGTCCCAACCGCGTCGGATCACGTGTAGCGACGCACTTACACTTGCGCTTGCGCTTTCCACATTATTATTGTTATCAACGCTTAGTATACACGTACTGTTTGNCGACCAATGAGCGGCCGAGCCGGTCTGGTCGCGCCGAGCCGGCCCGAGGCGGGCCGATCGCGCGCGCTCACAACAAAAACTCACACGACTAGTTTAGTGTCGGGTTGCGTCCCAACCGCGTCGGATCACGTGTAGCGACGCACTTACACTTGCGCTTGCGCTTTCCACATTATTATTGTTATCAACGCTTAGTATACACGTACTGTTTGATCGTACTGTGATCTGTGATACAATTTAGTATTTTTAACGTTTAGTTTTCAACATTAAAATGGACACGCAAACGGAATGGAGCTGATGATAGAATTGTGTTATTATCCGTCAGTATTAACAGTGATAAATAGTGATAGTGATCGACATTGTGATACACAGATTTCGAGGACAATCAAGGTATCGATAGCTTTTATTCTCTTTGTGTATCCGATTTTTTTCTCTATAGAACATGCGTTAAAAACACAAGTCTGATGCATATGAAAATTGAATCCACAATCAGCCTTTAAATTAATGTTAATGATTATTTTAATATTCAATTAGTGAAGCGAAATACGCTGTCCAATGTTTTAATTTGATTTACGAGCGAACATATAACTCTCCGGTCCGCGCGGAGGTTTCTTATTACTGTATTTGTGACAGATTAGCTCAAAACTTGTACTTTAATCGATACATAAAATCAATTTCTCAAAATTTCAAGGAAAATATATTCGAATTATAATTATATGCGAATTTTACGTTTGTTTGATATCAATAAAAATGTCCAGACACAGTTTTGTTTCGGTTTAATGGGCTTAGTTTTTGAGAGGACACATCCGACGGCACACAACATCGGATGCGTGCCGTTCGGACTACGACTATATATGTATATCTACATAAAATATAAAAATAAAATAACACAATTTTTATGTTTGTTGGTTCAAACAATTTATCAAACAAAAATCATAAATGAATTGGTAAGCTAATGAAATTCAAAACGTCTCGTCGAAATTTTAATGTTCGATTATAATATTTTTTTTCGATTCCGATAAATCAATATCGCGAATAACTCTTTCGTTTTTATTAAAAATTGAACATATAATTAATGTGTGAAAAAGGTTATATATAAAAAAAATATGCTTCATATTTAAGATCTTATCACGGTGTAAAAGACATAAACGGGTTTAGATAACCTTATTTAATGATGATTGAAATATTTGTAGGCAATTTGTACTGATAAATATTAATTTATTAATAACTTATTGAAAATTATTATAACTAAAAATGTATTGTTACGAATATACTGTTGCAAATAATTTAGAGTTTAAATCTTTAGAATAACAAAATAATTTGGACGCTGTTTATGGCAATGATAAAAAATACATCTTACTTAAAATGTAAACTCTTGAGCCTTAAAATATATAGGTAATCAGCTTATTTTTATGCAGAACAAGTTTCTCGTAAGAGCAGCTTTAAGCTGTCAAAACAATGTGCATTTAGATTTTTGTCTAGTTTCGCAACCGCCTAAATAGATTAAAAGATAAATATTTAAATGTACGATTGTATTCAAATGTTCTTATATATCGGATGATAAATTCTGGGATGCATTTCTAAAAGCATTATAATATGCTATATGTGTACGAAAAGCCTTCGAATTCAATTGTAGCTAACAACATCAGTAATGTCTGTTACGTATTTTAAATTTATTCTTTGTTTGAATTTCGAATTCGTTCGAGCCGACCAATCACTGTCAATATTACCTCCTTTCGTTTTCAAAATATTCGTCGGGCAGTTTTTGGCGGTAGGCGGCCATGATGCACGTTCGAAATTTGAATGCGGACCGAGATGCGCAAACGATTCTATCGATAAAACAAATACAATAAACTTTAGTATGTGTGTTTAATCGTTTCCGGTTCGGCTTATGTGCGTTCCATCCTGCCTCTTGTTTACAATTAATACATATTTATAATGAATTAACATAATCCATGTTTTCGAAGACAGCACCGTCGATTTTAAAGTTACAACCGCTTCTGATTAATTCGTTGGTCTACATTCTTAAGTAATTCGCTTTTTTTGTTTGTTTAACGACCGTCTGGTGTAGTGGTAAGTGACATGGTCACTACACAAGGGGGTCGCGGGTTCAAATGCCGCCAAGGGAAGATATTTGTATGATAAATATAAATGTCTTTCCAGGGTTATGGATGTATATTAAATATATGTATGTGTATAATAAAAATTTTATATTTATTTCCGTTATCTGGTACCTGTAACACAAGTTCTTTACGAACTTATCACGGGGCCAGTTAACGTGGCTTGATTGTTAGTAAATATTTATATTTATTTATTTATTTGTGTCAATATATTCATACAAAGAAGCAGCATTCATAAATATTGAGTTTTATTGTAAGATGTTTATTTATATAGGTTAATCTATTAGAGTATAATTACCTTATAAAGTCTCATGATTATATACAAATTGCATGCAATTTATAAATATTTATACGTAGATATGCCCGTTTCTTGATCTCTGGGGTTTGACTGTAAGCGAGAAATGTATTCTAATTAGTTTCTATCAAATACTATCCGATTGATTTTATCTTAATAATGACGTATGGAAATTCGGAATTTGGTACATTATTTTGATTTTAGATTTAAACTCGAATATTTTAGATTATCACGTAAATGTTTCAAAAAAAATAATAATAATTAGGATTTGAGATTAGTGAACTTTGTGTAAAACAATTTCGGTTGCTATCTAATTCTGTTGGTATGGATTGTATATTATTATGCGCTTATGTATATAGGAAGTACATTATATTATGTAGTTTTAAACAAATTTAGTCAAGTTAATCGGGTTAAGGTACGAGCGTAATCTACAATAACTCAGTTGAACTTAATTAAAGTCGGCCAAGTACGAAATTAGGCCTATGTAGTCGAAAACTGACCAAATAAATCAATTTCGAATTCTATTTTCTTAGTAATAGTGATCACGTTCGATTGTGGCCACTACAAAATAATTCGCCATCATCGATTTAGGATTATTTAATAGCTTAACCGCCTAATACTTAATGTGTTTTTTTTAGTTAGGATCGACATCACAAAACTATCTAAGTGTTTTTTTTATTGCTAGGTGGGTGGACGAGCTCACAGCCCACTTGGTGTTAAGTGGTTACTAGAGCCCATAGAAATCTACGACGTAAATGCGCCACCCACTTTGAGATATAAGTATAGTTACAACGGCTGCTACGCTCTTCAAACCGAAACGCATTACTGGTTCACGGCAAGCCGCTTAAGTACAACTTTATTCGGTAGTACGGTATATTGTGAGCCTTATAATAGTGAGAAGTAAACTAATCTGCTTATTAATGCAGCGAAGAAGTATTCTCCTTTGAACGGTGGGACATTCACTCCCTATACAATTGAGAGTCTGACTGTATTACTGGTGGTAGGGCGTCTCGTGAGTCCGCACAGGTAGGTACCACCACCCTACCTATTTCTGCCGAGAAGCAATAATGCATTTCGGTTTGAAGGGTGGGGCAGCCGTTGTAACTATACTGACACCTTAGGTAGGCAGCGGCTTGGTTCTGCCCCTGGCATTGCTGAAGTCCATGGGCGACGGTAACCACTCACCATCAGGTGGGCCCTATGCTCGTCTGCTTTCAAGGGCAATTAAAAAAAAACCTTAGAACTTATATTTCAAGGTGGGTGGCGCATTGTAGATGTCTATGGGTTCCAATAACTACTTAATCGCTTAACACCAGGTGGACTGTGAGCTCGTACACCAATCTAAGCAATAAAAATAAAAAATAAAAAGTATTGCCCTGGGTGGGTTATCCCGGTAGCCGCTAATCTTCTGCCTATTAGACGGTGAGCTTCTCTGAGATTTTTTTTTGATGATCCATTTTACGTCATTTTACAATTATAGACTGAGCTTCGATAGTGCGAGTAGATTCATTTGCCATGTTATCTGATGTTGAGAAGTTTTTTTTTTTCTTTTTTTTTTTTTTATTGCCTTTGTAGGCAGACGAGCATACGGCCCACCTGATGGTGAGTGGTTACCGTCGCCCATGGACTTCAGCAATACCAAGGGCAGAGCCAAGCCGCTGCCTACCGCTGCAAGCCGCTGCCTACCGCTCCAAGCCGCTGCCTACCGCTATTATTCCCATTAAACAATTAATTAGCAAGGATCTATCGGGCTTTTCGAGTGCTTTAAAGTTTTCGTGGTAATGAACGACTGCAAGGACGACGTGATCAAACAGTAAGGTTAGTTTTAATTAATAAAATCGAGGAAAATACTGAAGTATTAATTATTAACCTTTGTCTTTTAAAAGGTTATTAGTTTGACACAACATTATAATCCTAAACAAGCGTCTCAAAATGATTCATCTATTAGAACCATACTAAAAATAATATCGTATAATTTATATTTGATTTTACATTTGAAAGTTTTTATTTTTAGGCCATAAGATGCTCTAAAGCGATTATCCTAATTGGGAGCCTCCGTTATCTCAAAAGAGCTGATAAAACCACGTGTCGTATTAATTAGTTTATCTTAAAGTCGCTTGTGTAATTACCGCTTTTATTGGTTCCTTTAAAAAAACGACAAACAGCTTTTTCTCACGACCCGATTTGTGATTTTCATAACATCGAGTAAAATAATTTTAATAATCCATTAAACCAGAGACCTTTTACTGATAAAGAAACGTTAAAATTCAAATAACTACGCGTGTCTTTAAAAAATATTCATTTTAAATTATTAGATTATTCCGTGTCAAAAAAAAAAAAGTTTTACAAAATTGTTGAAGACATAACCATTTGTCTTCGTTAAAATAATATAACCTATTGAAATATGATAAGTCAATAACAATTTATACGCGGCCCGAAATTCGGAGTGTAGCGTTAACATTTAAATATATATTTAATTGAGAAAAAAAAAACCCAACTATGTACCTATAATCGTTTAGTGAAAGTAATATTCAAAATATTTAAATTTATAAAATAAAATGGTATATTTTTATGTAGTTACAGATCATCAGTGGTTGAACAAGTTTTAATAGGTACTGTTTGAAAACTATGTAACTTGACACCGCGTGTCAGGGCAGTGAAATCGCTCAATTAATTTAAAAACGTGTATTATCAGATATAAAAATCAAATTAAACATTTTTATTGCGAATTAAATGTACTTAGAATTGTTTAGCGAGATTTACAAGCATGTAATTTACGTAACATACGTAAACAATATTAGCATACCCGAGTTTTTATTATAAAAACACTTTTTTACGCTTGACAGGCAAACGTGACTAAGCGACAATGCGTGATCTTTACAGTAGACTAATTTAAAGTTGAAATACCTGAAAACAAAATTTATTTTAATGAATCTAGCTGTAATAGAACCTAGCTAGTAGCTGTAGGATTGAAA